GCTGTATTCAAGACAAGAAGKTCAGATAAGTTTATTACTTCGGATAGTATTTTAATCTGAGGTTCACTAAACAACTATATACACGTAAAAAAAAAACTAAAATTCTGAAGAGAGAAGTGTGAAGGAATTTCTTGATGATTGACCGAGCCGTTTTTAACGTGTTTGGTTGTCGTTTGGATAAGTTGAAATTTGCASAACTAAATGTCAAAGAGTTGATGTTTTACAATGATATAGCCGTATAAACTTTAGCTCATAGATAAGATTTAGATCAAAAATTTTCAAAACTAATTTAACAATTTGCTTTGATTTTTCATTGTACACGTTGGAAAYTGTCATTGCATTGTGCAGCAGCAAACCCGAGACACTAATGAACGGGATCGATAAGTGAATTAAAAGAAAGTTGATGATAAGAAAATTTGATCGTTGTTTTGGTTAATCGGGCAATTCAGYTCACATATTGTAGTGTTTTCTCGACTACGTTTCGTTGCCATTCTGGTCAACTCAACAGCGCGCTGAGAAAAGCTGCCGATCATTAATCAAGAAAATTTGACTTCCTTGCAGACGTCGCCAGAAGCGAGCGTGCATCTATAGGGGAAATAGAGCATGGATTTCAAGTGTTCTCGGCCTATTGTAGCTGTATAGAAGTGAAAGAAAGTTATAGTGCTTAGGAGGCAACTCCGGGAGAAAGACCCTTAGGAATACATCCGGAAAAATTCATTTTCGACCTCGCTGGGATTCGAACCCCGGTAATAGAATAATGCAAAGATATGAATATGAGGACCGCATGGCACTATGATAGACACGATATAGAAATGAAAGTAAGAGTTACATACCGAGAACGGAGGCAATCAGCCTAATAAATGTATAGGCTGATTGCCGACGTTCGAGGTATGTAACTRGCTTATTTCATACTTGAAGAAGTTTTCCAAGCACTGCATTAATATTTTCATTTTTAAATAGGCAAAGAAGCCGTTTTCATATGAATTAAAAACCAAACCCTCGATTAGAAAGATTACGAAATTTACAGTATTTTCCCAACGGGAATAATTTGCATAACCAATTTTCTCGTTAGTCCCATGAGACCAATGCTAACAATATGTAACAAGTAACTGAACAATGTTAATAACTGTTTTATTCCATAACTGACATCGATTAGTCAGTTAGCATAACATGTTAAGTATAGGATTTTCAAAGCTAAGGTTGTGGGTTCGAATCTACTTGGTGTCACTTGAATTTTTCTTTCTTTCTTTCAAGTTTCAGACGGAAAATGTCTAAGTTGAACGTAGTAGTTAATTAGGTATTCAAGGGGRATATACATTAGTATTCAAGGGCAATATATAGATATTGCCCTCAAATGGGGGCGATATCTAGATATATCCCTGAAACTTCGATATAAAGCACTTGAATACACAACGAGCTGGGGAATAAGCGAGATACAACACTATGAATAACAAAGAAAACTGAATCAAGTATGAAATAAGAAAGTTATAGTGCTTAGAAGGAGGCAATTCCAGGATAAAGACCCTTAGGAATAAGTTCTGAAAAATTATATTGTAGCTATATTATAAATGTACATAGTTCGTGTTTTTGTTGTGGTCATTAGACTAACGCACCATGCAGTTGTATATTAAACAAAACAAACTTACCACGGTATTCAGATGATCCTTGACTAACTTGCAAGCCAGTTGAATTCAGCTTAGTCTTGGAAAGGTTTAAAAGAAGATTATACGCAACGTTTGTATGCGGGAAGGATGTCGTGAGTTTTATCCGTACAAGGATAGGACCCGTGCCATTTTTCGGGCTAAAGATATAAGMAGTAATCATTAAATAGTGCAATATTTTCAAAATCCATAGATGTCTGATGTATGGAAATACCAAACTTCGTCGCCTCACATGGTCACCAGMAAATCAGTWCAAGTTAAAGATATCAAGTCTATTCAAAATTAGCTCTAAACAAAACAAGCATCTCTTCTAGACGCTCTCCCCAGTCGTGGTGTGGTGTTTGTGACTAATTCTTATCTGCATTTCTCATGATACTTTGTAAAACATACCTGACGAATTTATCTGTAAAGTAGTGTGAACCACTTAAGGCACATATCTTGCTGTCATTGATGAGGTTAATTAACTATAAACAATCAACATAATTAATTGGAAATGACAAAGTAAATTGAAAATCAAATTAAACATTCTTCTAGATGGCTAATTCGAAAAATGGCTGACCAACTTAGATATGCAGAACCCAACAAGTAACCCACCTATTTAGCTGAAATTTTCTTCCTTTGGGCGGGGTATCTATAGAAAGCTTTTTCCATGTTTACATATACAATTCAATGCGGTTATGCAAAACCAAGACGAAGTCGAATCGAAGGCGAGTYCTTGCATTTATAAAGTAAGTCTTTTTTTCTAAATATATTCAAATGAAAAATTATGTTTTTTGATCGAAATACAGTTTCTCATTATCTCGTTTTCTTCATTACTTGACGATATTTTCAAACACATGAATAACGGTTATTCATAAGAGCCTTCTAGATTTTTGGATTTGGTCCCTCTGGTTGGTCAATCCCCGAGAACTGAATTTTTAGCCTGGATGAGCAGCTGTTAGGGGAGAGACCTGGGAACGAGCCTCATAACAGCTGCGAGAGGAAACAAGAGATTTCCCTGTAATGACGGATTGCACGAGGCTAAGAAAAAGTGGTCYAATTCTGTTTAACTATGCATAGCGTTGTATTCTATTGTATTTCTTCAAAGTCTTGTATTGTTAATCTATCATTATGTGATACATTACAAAACTAACATATTTTTTTTGCATAAAGTATTGAACAACCCTACTAGTGTTCACGTGATCGTTCAAAAACGCCCCCAAAACGCAGTTTGCATTGTTGTCAATTCCCTTGAGCTCAGAAGTGCTTCTGCTTGAGCTACAATAATGCAAAAACTCGTTTTGGTACGATTCAGACCCTGTTCACTAGCCCTAAGTGCTATGAGCGTCTCAATCGTTTCAAATGCGTATTGMCATTTTTAGCTTCCTCATGGGATTTAACAACAAAATGTATTTTCGGTCGATTAAGAGGCGATTATATAGACACTATGATTAATAGAGAAGACTYGAAAAACAGGAAATAGCCCATTAACAATAACTTGTCACAGACTAGTGTGTGCTCATATTCTTTGATCATACAAACCGTGTTGTTTAAAGCGTTRTAAAGAGCAAGTATTTCCGTCGATGATTGATTGAACATCTGAACAGAATTTGAAAACACATCTTYCATTTCCAACCACAAATACAGAGTTTGCTCTAAGATAACAAAAGCAGTGATTACTCAGACATGACTTAACGAATGTAAACCTAATTGCAAAACGTCATAAAAAAATTCTTAGTCGATATATCAAGCGATGTGATAACGTTGGTTACTTAAAAGACGTCATACTAGGYTCGAATCAGGCTTCTATGAAAGCTCGCGGCCATTAACTTTCGAGATTATGCAAAGTTTCATAGTTTCAAGTTTCATAAAAACGAGATTTTAACGGATTTCCATGCTGGTTTTCCTCAACTTTGAACTGAAAAAAGTTTATTTGCACTCTAATAAAAAAAAGAAAAGAAAAGAAGGCGCTCACGATGAATGATCKTCTTTTGACTAATAATCACTTTTTATTGAAGTTCGATACCAACAGTTTTGCAATTAGGTATATATACTAAAAAAATYAAAAACATATACCGTGGCACAAGTCTTTCACGTTGTAAACGTTTTACCACAAAGCATATTAACTATGCACAAAGCAAGCTGTAAAATGAGGTGAACTAGCCACGCACGGGCTACCTTGTTTTGCGTAAYATTTAGCTAGTTTTGAAAACAAACGAAAACTTCTTTCTAAAAATAAATGATTGATAAATGGAGACTATATTACAAGCATCTGACCGAGGTGATTTGGACGAAAAAAAATGAATTTGAGATAATCCTATATCTTTTCAACATTTCTTCTGCATTTTTGCCACAATCGATTAATGCTGACCCTTATAGAGAATGTGATGAAGTAGTGTTGGTAATGATTGAAATAGAAAAGAATCTTACTCTTAAGGGTATATACATTGAAGTAAGAACTTCCTCCGTAACCACTTCCACAGTAGCAGGAATAATAGCTTTTCCTCGTGCATCCATAAGAATGATAATAAGATCTGCACCCGGAGTAGTAATAATAATTGCAATAGTTGTAATTATAAAATTTAGGAAATATCGCGGCTGCATAACATGTTTTTGATTTAAGAGCAAAAACTTTAAAACCGCGTCCAGATGCCGCTCTTGCACACTGCTGAACGACGTCTTTGATCGGGTTTTCAGTACTTAATATTTCATCTGTTCCTTCAAGGTGAATCATCCCAGGGTTTAGCTTTGTATAGCAGTAMCTTGATTGGGACGTGTGCACTGAAATGAAAGTAATAAGTTAATGAACTGTAATGACTGCACGTAGCTGCAGATGTGCAGTAATGGCGAGGGTCAATGTTCTGGGAGCTATCAATATATTGCCTTTCTTGTAAAGCAACTATTTTTTTTTTCCTGGCCTTCTGGTCTTTTTTGTTTTTTTAAAGATTTTTAATAAATATCAATACAATAATATTACAAAAAAAAATCACAAATTAAATAGGTACATTATCCTTAAATTTAGAATAATATTACATTACATTGTGGTAGAGGAAGAAAAGAAAAAAACAATACATACAACAAAAATAAAACAAAAACAAGCATCAACAAAGATTTGTACTAAAAGTAAATAAACTAAAATTCCATAAAATCTAGGAGTTTGTTCCATTTAAAGTAGTGAAAATCAAGTTTTTCTTTTTCTTTAGCTATCCTGAATTCAATTTGATATATTATTTTAACTTTATGCAAGAAAGTGGCTAAATATAATTTGGATTTTTTTAAACTATTTTGATATATGTAATATTTCGCTAAAATTAATAAGTGATTTATCTAGATATAATC